TTGCTTACCATATAGTAAGCTTTAAGAAACTTTTTTTCTATATAGTCTGATGGAGAAAAGAATGCTCTATTTTTCTATGCTATTTGATCATAGTTCAACCAATATCATAATAATAAATTTTCGATAAGACTTTATTGTTGTTGTTATTTGTGCTCTAGTAAGATCTGCATTGCAGTATCCAATCCCTTGATACATTGTATTGACCACTAAAATATACCATAAGATGCAGCGTGAAAAGCTCTACAATTTACATAAGACCACTTACTTTAAAGTTGCCCTTTGTGCTTTGAAAATAAATAAAGTTTTGAGATACCAAATTCTGGGCATTGCAAAGAATGGTTGCACAGAATTTTCCTTCTTTTGAAAACAATTACAATAAGCTTTAGTATGAAGATTGTAGAACTTTTCGCGCTGCATCTTGTGGTGTATTTTGTTTTCTTTTAATAAACGCATATCAAATGACGAAACGATGAAATAACAAAAAAGTAAGTCGCCATGTATCAAAAAATTATCAATTTCGCATAGTCGAAATTCGATAGCCCAAAATTGTGTCCATTTTGAAAACCAAAAGTGGAACTATAAAATAAGCGGTCTTACGTAAATTGTAGAGCTTTTCACGCTGCATCTTATGGTATATTTTAGTGGTCAATACAATGTATCAAGGGATTGGATACTGCAATGCAGATCTTACTAGAGCACAAATAACAACAACAATAAAGTCTTATCGAAAATTTATTATTATGATATTAGTTGAACTATGATCAAATAGCATAGAAAAATAGAGCATTCTTTTCTCCATCAGACTATATAGAAAAAAAGTTTCTTAAAGCTTACTATATGGTAAGCAACGTCGAGACACGAACTTTTGGTACGCCCTAAGTATATATACATATATATATATTAGCAAATTGAAAACTGAAAATTCTCTTCGTCTTCTATTCCTATATAGCTGGTGATGATCACCAATCTGATCGCAATCGATCGTTCATTGTGCGTGTTCGTCAGAAAATATTTTCACTGAATTTATTCAGTGATAAAGTAGACAATCCAATCTTGGCCACTCATATCTATCTCGTTCTATTCAGTATTGCATTCGTTATTATTCTGCTGTTCACTAGCCTTCGTCAACAGGCACGTTTGTTCACGATCGTATCACCATCGGAAACAACATTCGAATCGCTCAATGAACAGTACGGACCGAAAACTCTTTCCTGTTCTTGTACACAAATCTCCATTACATTTGACACATTTGTTTCTGTGTCTCCGATATACCATCAAATGTGTTCAAGTGAATTTATTACATTCGAGTGGTGGTCATTGTTATGGGATACAGGTGACATATTCTATCCTGCTCTGTAAAAAAAGTTGACCGACTGAACCTTTTAGGGTTCTAGATTTGGATACCATTTTCAGAACCTTTTTTAGTTCTAGCCGAAGCTGCTAAACTTTTTAAAGTTCTAGATTTTCTGGTTAGAACTTTTTTAATTTTTTAATTTTTTGGCTAGAACTATAAGAAAAAAAGGTTTTGAAAATGGTACCTAGATCTAGAACCTTAAAAGGTTCAAGGCTTGTCTAAAACCTTAAAATGTTCACTATGGCACCTTTTTTTTAGACAGTAATGATCAAATGCTGCTTGGTGCTTATTTTCGCATGCTATCTTCATTGTGCAAACTGGCCAAACAAACCGTCGACAATGCAACAAATGTATTTGCTTCAAATACATTTATAAGTGTTGAAGCAGTGGCACGCAACTCTTTTGAACATCAAGTTGAATCATTTCTGAACACATTTATTGAACAAACACCGCTTACTTTTCGTCGTACATTCACATTCATTGACGATTCGTTTCATTCAAATCAATTGCACGATTATTTCATGTCAAATTGGAAGATGGCATTTACTACGGCCGCTGAAAATTATGTTATAGCAACAGTTCCACTCTCATACAATAATGACACGTGTATATGTGCCACTGCAATGTTGTCATCATGTTCGAGATATCTTCTCTTTACCTTGGAATACGACAACCCATCAATGATAATGTTGCTCGGTCTGATTGGCAGCTGTTTCCCAGTAGACGGACTGCGTCTGTCAACACTCGAATGCATCTTCGACCCAATTTGTTTAGCCACGCTCGATGCACTGCGCCAAAATTCAACAATATCTGTCCCACTCAATGCCTCGACATTCACTCGTTTTCCATATAAAACCACTACATTGGGCTCGATCATTGATCAATTGTTTGTCGAAGTATGGGTCAATAGAACCAATTATTCGAACTATTATCAAACATGCTCACCACGAACATGTCACTATACGTCTGCTGAACGTAATGATGCGTTGAATGTGATCACATCTCTGCTAGGCTTATACGGCGGTCTGACGACCGCTCTTCATTTCATTGTCTTGCATGGCTTGAATATTATTCAAAAGATGCGATCTTGGTGGCTCAACAGACATAATCGAACAATACGTGTTGCTCACATTGATCAAGTTGACTGATTTACCCAATCATGCGATGATACATTATTCATGTTGTTTTGTGTCGTTTCATATATTTACTCATTATTAACTTCTTCATATATTTATTTCCTAACCAATACCATTTATGCTGTTAATTGCACCAACTGGAATTTATTTCTTTCGATAGAAATAAACGAAAAAATACACATTCAAATCTTGATACACAGACCAGCTTGATAATAAAGTTAACGTGCGAGAATTTCATTTCAATCTATATCTAAATAGATTAACACAACAATTCTTTTCTCCCGTTCGTGTTGTGTTTTCTCAGTCCCGATCCTTTTTCTTCTTATTCGTACGTAATAGCTATCACAGAGCGTGAGTGAGGGTATGGATGTCAGTGTAGGTGGGATGGGTATGGATGTTGGTAAGGATATCAGTGTTGGATATAGGTATGTGTGGGTATTCTTTCCTTCCACACCCACACCCACACCCACACCCACACCTCATATCCACATGCACGCACATTTGCACTCACTTCCGCACCAACATCCACAGACACACCCACACCCACACTCCTTATTTAACAAATCCATATTTTTATCAGTTAACAACCAACAAGCCCATAATTCATAACATCTTTTTTTAATTATCATTAAGATTCACTTTGAAATAAGAAACTCGTCTATATGGTTCTATCTCATCGTTATTTTGGGTGTGAGTTTGATTATGTATGTTTTGTGCGCCGTGCTTCCAACCACATGGACACCGACACCCTCATCTTATTTGTCGTCTTTAATTTTTAGTAGAATAAACTTTCTTATACTTGTATACTTATCTTTTTCTCAAAGTTACTTACGTAGGCTGGTCGTCTTTTTTACTCATGACTATGTTATTAAGGAGAGACTGATATGATTCAGATGGTTTAGAAAAGAATGGTCGGGTTGCTTGTATAAAGAAGTGCAGTACATTTCTATTCCTATCGATTTCTGATTCACTGTGCTTGCTCTGTTTTATTTTCTATTCTGTTGCGTATGATTCTATATTATCTATATGTTTCAAGTGTTATGTAAGTATAACTATTAAAAACTGATGTAATAAGACCAACCTTTATATAAAGTAAAAACGGTTAAAAAAAATTAAATGATCGCAAAGGTAGAGAGAAGTACCAAGAAGTACCAAAAAGCAATTTAGCATAAAGATGTACAGAAGTACGCTCGCTCTCCCTTGGGTAAGGCATACATAGAAATAGAAAAATCCTGTGCTTAACTGTGAAGAACACTATTTTCTCATCTTTCGTAGATTCAAAAAAATTTGATCCCAGATGAATGAGATGTGGCCGATTCCGACGGGAAAACTTCGGAAAATGTTAACAATTCGGAAGTAGAAATTCCATGATCAGATTTATCCAGTTTCTACCAGAACCGACAATAATCGACCAGAGGCGACAACCGAATATGATCATCGGCTTCATGCTTCCAAGTTTCTATCATTTTTTCGGTCGGAGACGGCGTCTTTCCTGCAGATTTCTGCCGGACACTCACGGATCCAGTCGTTGAAATCATTGATCTGGGATAGCCTGGTTCAGCATATAAATTATATTTGTACTCATTCGATAGCGAAATAAACACGAAAACTAAAATAAAAATAGATGTCACTAAAAAAGTGTTTTTTAGAGATCATTGTTCATACAGTTCTTGGATGATGATGTCTAAGACAATAAAAATTTAGTAGTCAAGATGATATTTATGTTCGATAGATGTTGTGTTCTGAGTGAATAGAAGCTAGTTGCAGAAGAATTGATTCACCAGTTATGACCGATAAAACACAAAGAGAAACTCTAAACAAGGTTGGCCCGACTCAGCCAATATTGGAGGGTTGTAGTTAGTTTTGTACGGGGTGTAACATCGCTTTTCCTAACAAAACACCAGGAAATTTTTGGATTTTCCTGGGAAAAATGGAAAATTTTGAAGATTGAGAGATTGTTACGACCCCAAGTACCCCAGTCGGGCCAGTCCTGTATTTATACTGTTTCGTTTTGTCTTGATTTTTCTCGCATACGCTCGAAATAGACTGACATAGATGAATAACGACAGTCAATTAGGACATGTTAAATCTGTCTGAACATGCAACTACTTGATCGGTTATTAACAAGACAGATTTTGATGAAAAAGGAATTTTCATAGTATGCTGCAGTATTATTTTTTCTTGGAGCTTTGGTCGAATGAAAAGGAATTTTTTTCAAATATTGAAAGGTTGTTACAACCCCGCTTCGGGCCAGTCATGACTCTAAAATAGGTTAGAAGACATTTTCTTGCTATATTGATGTTTAAGTGTGAATTTAGTGTGCCGACAATATCTGATGTACATGAAAGGAAACCCGAGAATATTCGGTATAACAGGATGTTCACTGGCAGACATTTTACTGTAATAACAAGATAAGTATATGCTTGTCTCTATCTGATGCAATATTAACTTTATTTTTTTCAATATATAAATCAATAGTTTTGTATATGATATTAGTTATAAAGAATTTCTCATAATCTAATGATTATTAATGATGGAGATGAGTTATCTTCTAATACTTCGTATTCACTAGCACTTGATTTTAATGATAAAGCATTATGAACTTCAGATGATGATTTATCAAGTAGAGACTGAGGTCGTAATGACACATGATTATGATTTTCAATAGCATCTGGCAAATTATCATCGTCCAAATCTTTGTAATAACCAAGATATTCTGTACTGTCAATCTTACACTGATCTTGACTACTATTTCTATATAAAACGCCAGGATAATGTTGATTAGTACTGTAACGACTTGTTTGACTTTCATGATTTCGTTGTTCCTGAGTATTATTCGTACTATTACGAATTATTGTATGTATTGGTATTGAAATAACAAGATTGTTTTTTGAAAAAGATTGATCTTCCTCTATTCTTGATTGATTATAATCTTCTATTATATTCGAATTCCTTTCGTGTTCATTTTCTTGACGAATTTGACATAAAAAACAATCAATTATCCATCGCCAAGCATATGGATCATAATTTGGATCTTTTTTTAATTTATAACTAATACAATATTTCAAAATAACTACTATTGTTAACAGAACAATAATAGCAACAAGTACATAAACAATAATAATTAATATTTTATTAATACGATTTGTTGTACTACATTTGTCAAATAAGAAATAATCATAAGATGATATATTATTTGTTATAGAATTAATTTCTTGATAGTTTAATGATTGTGAATAGAATATATTAATAATTGATCTATTTGATTGATTATCAAAGAGAAGACAATATTGTTCGAAACATAATTCGCGGCATTCATTTGAAAAAAGTATTGTTTGTGAAGAATTATATGAAACAATATTATAACATTTATTAATTTTTAAGATAATATAATTTTCTACTGAGTAGACAAATGATAGATCAAATTGAATAGGAATAAGTTGAATACATTTAATTTTTGATATAGATTCGAATCCAATTGTTATATCAGTACAATGTTGAACAAGAAAATTTTTACATAAACTTACACATTGAGAAAACAATAAGATAAAGAAAATAGAAAATAATGAACTATAAACATACATCTTTATAATGAAAATGTTTGTATACGCTTCATTGCTCTTTCTTCTTGTGTTAATTAACAAATGTAATTTTTTTTTGGTTAATGAAAATCATGAGTTGCATTCAAATATAATTATTCGATGCTATCAAAACAAAATAAAATAACATATGATTTTTTTTAAGGATTGAAATATATCATTTGGATAGACATTTAATGACAATCTAATAGTTTTTTTTTCAGTTAAATTAGTGGAAAATCTTATAAACATCAACATTATCGATTAATTCTGTAAGATAACATTTTGTTATAGTATTGGTATCATCAATAAATTTGTCAAGACAAATAAAATTCTTCTAATGTATAGCAACCAATATCGATTGGAAGTTTATGAATGATGTTAGATCATTTTGGAAAGATTAGAAAAATTTTCTCATTACAAAAAATTCGTAATTTATTAGTAACTGCTATCATTATTTATTATTGAAGGGTCGAATAATACAACTCATAGAATTGATTGGAACATTTATATTCTATACTGCCTCCAATTAACATTGACATCAGTCTATAAAATTATACACTTGATCAGTTTTTAATTATTCATAAAAAACAGCTACGTGTTTTTTTCAACAAGCAAGAAAAATGCATGCATGATTTGTATATAGATGTAAATAATAATAATCATTTATTTTTAAATGATCTGCAATATAAATAATTCTATTCTTTCAAGTCCTACATCCTGTTAGAATATCCCTTGCATGATATCAATATTTGTTGCATATGTGAACATTTCAATACTGTAAAACATGAATGCTAATGTGCGTTGTACTGTCAATTAAATGAAATTGTATTCTGTTTTGATATTAATATAAAGAATTATGACAAAAGAATATCGTTTAAATAGTTCCATATGTTAAAATTTATTCGAAAGAAAATTGATCCATTCTTGATAGGCCATTATCGCATTTAAACGTACTGAAACGGAAATGAATAGCTTCGATTGATAATGGTACATTTCTGTGAATCAAACAATCTATCAGCATAGTCTACATAGGCCAAGATGATTTCGATTTTTTAACTTTTTCCATGTTAATTGAATATCATAGTAAGATGTATTGTCAGTTTATGAATGTAAGTAACAATATTCTTTAGAACATGATAATTCCAAACAATTAAGAAAATAGAAGAGTTCTTTCGCACCACCGTTCAATACTGACCATTTGAGCGTCTTACAGAAACCACTAGTAGAAACACCCAGAACAGGACAAGCTCGACATCTCAGTGCTAGCTTGTTCGATTTCAAAGAACGGTCTCGTAGTTATCGTTTTAGAAATGAATAGAAAATTTGAATCAATTATATACGGAGATGATTGTAAAGAATACATCTGTGACACAAAACACCGTGATACGACTCTTTAATCATTGACTATCATTAGATTTATTTTTCTTTGAGCCATTCTTTCTCACTTTTTATATACTAAATTTTCATTTGTCATACTTTATTTAGCAATGTGTTTCATTCTTATTAGTCTGTGCTTTGCGTCCGATATGTGGTATCAGTGAAATGTCATTTTTTTTCATGTTGTCCTTCCTGTACATGTCATCATATCAAATATTTGACTGACAATTTATGTACTGTAACATGGTGTTGATAATGTCTGGCATCAGTATCGTCCCACATCGTCAATTATCAAGTGTATACATGGTTACTAAGATCATTGACGTTATAAACATATAGTCTGTGATCGTATACCAACAATGTCTGTCACGGTTTGTGGAGGACGGTGGTGCAAGTTTCTACCTCTATACTTTAACACTCCTTTTTAGATCGTGTTTCACAATATCAATAAAATATTCATCTAAAAATCTAATCATGTATTTATAGGAATATTTCTAATTCAACAAGATTTATTTTCAAAATTTTCCCGCCGTTGAATGTGCTAGAAAGAATTCAGACAGTGATTCGAATAAAGAATATGATTTATAAAATGGATATAAGGAAATATAAATTATTATCAGGTTTGCAAAGAGAGAGACTCCAAAAAACTAAAAAGCTACGTTTTCAGCCCCTAGAACAAGTAAATGTAATTTTGTTTAGACTACATAAAATAATGTAGTAAATCATTTTCTACAAAATGAAACTTCTCCGAGTTCTCTGCGATGGATTTTAGCTGAGATACAAGTATCATACGAAATCCCGAGAGTCGTTTTTTCCAATTTCCTATAAAAAAATCATTTTTAATCTTCAATCAAATTGCTGTATGTCAGCTACAAAACGTCATAGAAAACTCAGCAATATCTCATTCTGTAGATTATAAATTAATTAATTAATGAGCATATCATAAATGCAATGAAAAAAATCTTCGATAGATTAAATATAAAAAATTTCTTTTACACCCGTGAGCAAAAGTCTTTCCTCCCTATCTTTTTTAAATTTTCAATATTTGCTTTGTTTCTATTGTCGAACTAAGGTATAACACAGACATTTTTATTTTAATATGATATATAGTCACCATTGGCTTCAATGAAGCACTGCACTCGTATTCCCATACTGTTGACCAATTTGACAGTCAAGTCAGGTGAGAGTGCTTTCCATGCCTCTCTTATTTCCTGTTCGAACTTTTTCTTTTTATTTATTGTATACGTCATTATGGACTAAACGTTATCAATTGAGTTTTGATCTGGTGACAGAGAGAGCCAAGGCGGAACCTGTATTCGATTGTCGATCTTTCAGTCAATCGCTAGATGGGATCTTTATTTAAGATCATTATCTTTTTGAAGGATCTAGCTATAGCTTGACCTTCAGGAAACTGACGATGAGCAATAAGCAGAAGTTCATTCTCATGTATGTGGTACATAAAGTCTCTTGTCAAATTATGTTTGATATTTCTGTGACACTTGGAAATTGTCAAACTTTTCTTCCGCTATTGCCAAGTTTGAGAATCTTGCCATCGGTAAAAATTACGTTGTCCCAATTGAAATTTTGATGCTCGAGTCCAAATGAGTAGTTACTCACGATGTGTGTGTCTGTGAATAAAGGCTTTTTTAAAGGTGGACCATAACTTCCTCCATTTTCACGTAATCGATGGCTAATAGTACTTGGATCTATATTCACATCGTCCTCTTTTAGAGTTTCTGAAATGTCGTTTGATGTAACATTCAGCTCATGTTTGAAAATATGAACAATCTTTTTATCTGTTGTCTTCGACGTGGCACGTAGTCACGTCTAGTCTATGGCAAATTCGACAGATCTTCATTTTGTTGCCATCTAGCAAGCCAATGCCGTACGGCTTTTGGTTCACACTCAATGTACTTTGAAATAGCTTTATTTGACATTTTTATGTTTCAGAGGATGTAGCTTGAGAAACACAATCTCATAGTGTTGTGATAGAGATAGTAGCATGTTTAAAATTTTACGAAAGAATGATGAAAACACAATTCTCGATATCGATCTACATTTCGCATATCAACAATTGTTACATAAGATTGAATCATTGGAATCAGCAAATAAAAAGAAAGAAAAGGGAGAAGGACTATTATTTAGACCTGTATTTATGTTACACATCAGATTGATAATAAAAAGAAAGGAGGAAAGAACTATTGTCCATGGGTGCGTCTACTAAAAATGATCTATTTATCTAAATAACACCGGTTTTCGCTCGAATATATTTCCTCAGTGTTATACGTATATTTTAATAAATAGAAAAAAAAAGAATATGAAATAAAAAAGAACGAAAAAACAGCCAATGATATTCATCATTTATTTGAGTGTGGCATATTGCGCGAGTTTTTCATGAATAGGTGGTTTAAATTTGATTTGAATAAATTTAAGAATATAAAGTGGTAAACATGAGACTACTGTAATAACTACAACACGCCATACGAAAGCCCATGATACAAGATATGCAAGATCAAAATAAGATTTAAAAATAACCAATGAAACAAAATAAGCAACAAGACTTAATAATTCACTGATAATCATTAATGGATGCCATGTTCGAATCTATTTTTAACAAACAAAAAAATAACAATTAATATACTTCAGATAAGATTATAGTAACAAAAAATTCGTGTTAATATATCAAATTTCTCAAGATATTAGCTTTTATAATAGAATTATTGATCTTTAATCTCGAATAAAGATACCCACAGATAATATTACGTATCTGTTCAATAGATTATAACATGTCAATACAGTCTTTGAAAAACTTTTACAGTTACAGTGGTTGCAAAAAGTTTTGCTATCAGGTAAAAAATATCTAAACTTTAACCTTTTGGTCTCATAGTTTAACGACAAATAGACCATGGCGAAGTCTGATCGCAAGGACTAATCGAGACTTGATCAGCCTTTATTCGAAGGAGACAGAAGGTCGACATAAATTTGTTCTGCAGACGAAGACATCTCAACATAAAAAATAAATCTCATGACATTAGATCCCTTATTCGATAACTCAATGCTGTCTCTATCACCAATAAAAATTTTATGTTAAACGGTTTTACTTTGCATGATTTGCGAAATATTCTTTGGATAACTTCCATATGAGAGTTGATGGAAATCGTCGAAAAGTGACCCATGTCTCCGGCTTATATTAACCATTTGCCTCGAATTTTTCTCCAATAAGTGCCATACTCTAATCAAATATTCTCTGAAAATTTCATGATCGCTGTCACCAATGGAAAAGAGATCCATGCTGAAACGATCCCAAACAATGGAGGCTTCCTTACGTCTCAAAATTACAGTAAATTGGAGTAATCCAATCCGTGATATAATATAGATATGCGAATCTTTATTCGTTGATAAGACAATTGTGGTTAACATAGTTAAATAGTTGGAAACTAGAAAAGTGTCGAAAAAGCCTTGGTTGGGTCCTAGGAAAAAAACAGTGTTTTCATCATAAATTCTTTGCATGAAGCCCTATCGAGCTCATGTTGCTGTTTGCGATTGGAGTTTACCAAGCTCTATTTGTCGTCAAAATGTCGGGCTAAATGATTGAAGTTTATGCACTTTTTATCTGTTAGCGAGACTTCTTGCAACTACTGTAAACTCATTCATTTTCGCTTATGAAGAAACCTTGCAATGTGATAAATCATTTTTAAAGGAGAACTTATCTTATATAGACTAGAAAAGATCTAGAATGATTCTTGCTCATGAGTCTTTCTTTTCCATTTATAAACTTTTTACTACATTATTGACTTGTACTGAGATACTAGACGCAAAATCGAAAGAACGTATTCTAATCTGAATTTTTGCTCATCCGTAGGTCGGGTAAAACTGAGAATGTACCAAAAGTTTCAGCGAAAGTGAATGTTGTACAACCGAGATAACGAACTTTTATAAAACGTCTATATGTTACAAATGGTCTAAAAAAGTCAGCCATCTCGGAAAACCTTTGTTTTTGTGTCGAGACTACGTGCATTATGGAGATCCAAATGAGTTATGAATATTTTGAAAGAAGTTCGTGCCCTTAAGCTGAGTGCTATGGAAATACTACATTTTAACAGTATTTTTTAAAGAAATGCCGAAGTCTTCCTGAAGAACACCAGAAAAACTGATTTTTGAATTTCGACTTAAAAATTTTCATACATACAGGCTTTACCAAGAGTAGTTTATTATGAAAGTGTTAGATTTTTTGATTTGCTTCTGTCCTGAAATAAGAACATCAAATCTGCTAGTTTACATGAGTAATATAAGAGACACGTATTTACCACAGTTGTCTTATGATAAGAACAGTCACAAAATCTGAAACTTTCGTAATAGCCTATCTCTATGCAAAGTTTCAAATCGAAATTTAAAAATCAGTTTTTCTCGTGTTTAGAGTATTCATAACTCATTTGAGTATACATAATGTACATAGTCTTGACTCAAAAGCAATTCAACAGCTGAAAGACTTTTCTCATTAGTATCATCAGATGTACTAATGAACAAATATTTAAATCAAAATAAGTTTCTTTGATTTCTACTCTAGTGCCTCATTTAGACATGAGCGGGACCAAGATCATCTTATCCATATCTAGTCTTATTACAAGTCAGCAACACAGTAAAATGTTTCTAACTGGAGAAGAAAAACTCACAGATATGAATCATTCTACACTTTTTAGGGTCTGCATCACATAGATTCAACTCTAAAAGCGATTTATCACTTCGTGAAGTGTCTTTATTAGTTATTTTGTGTTAATAATGAAAATCTCAAAGATTTTGTTTCTTAAATTTCCTCACAATACTGTAGTACGTACTGTAATTGCAATCATAAGTAATTCTGTAAGAATTAATGAAGTAAATGTAATAGAAACAATATGAGTCCAATCCTCATCAAATATAAGAAATGAGCCATACACAATCGCACCACCTTGATAACATGAAATAAAAACCCAAAGGAAAAATGTTTTAAATGATAAATTTCTTCCTTTAGATAATTCTTTATATAATTCTGGATAAAGTAATGCGATTTCTTCAGGTACATCTTTATCTAATACAAGTGAAAAAACAGGAAGCATTGTATATACTGTTCCATAACCAACAAGTAAAAATGATGGATACATTGATATAGTAGCAAAATAAAATATTGAAGAAAATATTGCTTGCATAACAGTTAATATTATACCACGATGAATAATAAATTGTGATAAAGCTGCTGCACGCTTATAATTATAACGACCATGAATAAATAATAAACGAGATAAATAAGAAAATTGATTAATGGAAAAATCAGCTGCTAAAGATGCTTGTTTACCTGAAAAAAATTATTCAGAATTAAATCATTTATATGTTAAATCAGAAAGAAAGTTCATGTAGAACTAAGCCAAAATCTAACTGATAATCAATACTCAACAGAATTTGATAATATGTACAACGTTGGATAGGGAACCCTGTTCCTTACAATTCTATATATATCGGTTCTTGGACTAAAACCTTAAAGTTGCGTTTCGCAAACAAAAATCGTATAATTTTCAAATATCAAATATTGATACTTCTTATGTTGAACATGATTATTAATGTAGAACGAAGTTAACTTCCTTCTCATTCCACAGATCAATAAAGGATAAACAATAGTACATTACTAATAATACCAATTTATTTCATTCAGTAAGATTAAGTTTGAAAAATAATATTTATTTAAAGAAAAAATATAATTTACCTTCTTTTCCAACTATTCCAATACCAACATGAGCACTTTGAATCATACTAACATCATTCCCTCCATCACCAATTGCACAAACTCGAACTCTATTATCACCATATTTTTTTAATAAATTAGCAACAGTTGCTTTTTGTGTTGGTGAACAACGACAAACAACAATCGATGGACTTTGAATTATTAATTCCATAAAATCTTTTTCATAAAAAGATAAACATATTTGTAATGCATCACCTGTAATAATTAAACAAGCATCTATTTTACGTTTAAATATATTTATTTCTTGTAAACATTCTTCTCGTGTTGTTACTTGTTGAATTATATATATATCATCATTACGTCTAATTAATTTAGAACTTTTAGCAATACATGTTGCTGTTTCTAATTTATCACCTGTTAACATCCAAATTTTAATTCCACCTTTATGTAAAGTTTCTAATGTATGTCGAACATCTTCTTGTAATTGATCTTCAACACCAGAAATACATAATAATTCCATATCATGTTCTAATGTTTCAATAACTTCATTGACACAACGAATACGATTAATTGTTTGTAAACGTGCTTTTAATAAACGCTGTTGAAATACTTGATATTGTTCATTAGTTAAATATTTTTTAGCAACAACTAATGTACGTAAGCCCTCACGAGCCATATTTGAACATTCTTCATGTAACCAATCATTATATTGAACAATATTTTGCATAACTGTATCAGCACCTTTTAAATAAAATATAATTTCATTTGTTTGTTCATCACGTAGAATAATTCCCATTCGTTTTGTTTCAGGTGTAAATGGAAATAATTCTAATATTTCATAATGAAATAATTGTTGAGTAGAATTTAATTTTAATATTATAGATTTTAGACTACGTTGAACAAGAGTTAGACCAACTTGTTCAGTCCATTGAACAATAGCTATTTCATCAGGACTTGATGCTTGATAAGAAACAACTATAAAACAAATAGAAAGATAAATTCAATTCATTTAGCCATACGAAAATTTATTCCGAGATTTATCATGCATGGTTAGAGAATTAACTTGTGTTATTAACATTTAAATACCAAAAAAAAAATAGAAACTTTTTCCCTACGTTAGTATAGTTGTAAATAGCGAAAAATTAATTAGGTACAATATTTACTTTTTGGAGAGTCTAAAAACGAATTAGATTAGTGAAAAAGAAGATATATGTCTCAATTCTAAAACCAATTAAGTCTTGGGTAAAATTATTTTGATCTTTTTTCTATCTTAACTCTTTCAGGACGGGATTATTTTTTGAAAAAAGACAACAGAAAAACAAGATTTCAATAATCAACTGATTCTATTTTTCATTCGAATTTATGAAGGATTTCCTGATCCTCTTTTTAAACGGCTTCTGATTCTCAAAGACAGTATGACTGATCCAGGTGGAATTCTTACCCAAGACAGAGCACCACCAACAAGGAGAAATATATTTGAAGAAAAAAGTTTAAAGCCGATTTTTACTGGCAAACTCTAGTTTTCAATAGGACCGCATTTGACTTTTCCGATCGGGCTGAAATTTTTACCACTAAGAGAAAATCGGCCATTTTCGATTTTGAGTTTCCTACTGGGGTTTACAGGATACTGAAAACCAAGACTCTGGTTTCGGCTCCTAAATCTTTACATATTTCTCTCATAAAAAAGTGAAAGTTGGGTGTCGATGTGAGTCTTCTCTTAGGTAACATTCACACCCATTTTCTACTTCTGTTCTTTTGTTATTGCTGCTTATTTCTAATTGAATAATATTTCTACTATTCGTATAATTATTAAGTTATTTATCATTTTATTGTTAATTTCTAAATTTTAATTCAATAAATTTATGTATTTTACTTGTAATCAATAGGGATCCAATTCGATGCTTATGGGGAACAACTGTCTGGGATGCACCACTCGTGTATTCGGTACGACTCTATGGAAAACCAGAGTTACCCAGTACAAATCCACTTCAAAATTTTGTCCTAGAACAAGTGTCTCCTTATTTTTGATGCTCTATCTATGTTAAAAATGTCAGCTTAATCTGTTGTACTCTTTGTAATCCAAAGTATGATAGTCTCGAAAACAATGTGCAACACATTAGCCTATATTGCAATCTGAACATTCGTATCTAGTACGAGATTGCTTTTTTTGATTGTTTGCCCGTCGTGCTAAGGCAATACTTCGTCGTTTTCCTTCGCTGATTAGTGATGGAAAATGATGAGCCGTCAGTCACAGCGATTTGTCAATAGAAGGCCAACCTCTTCTTGGATTCTATTGACTACCATATTTATCAAAGATCTGTGCATTACTTGCAGGCGAAAATCGGTGAACTCAAAAATGGGACATAATCAAGGTACCAACATTCAACATATATAACTACAATGAGTATACTCTAACACATACGCAACTATTTCCAATCGTCAATAGCAATATACTTGTCTCTATTAAAAAAACCAACTATTCAAAATCGATTAACCTGCTGATGGTAATAGTTCTATATAATCTGATCCAGTCGTTGTATTTACTGATGTAACACCTGTCATTGGTGTATCTGGTGGTGTATGATGTTCATCATCACGTTTTGCGGATGCATCTAATGATGTTGATGCTGGCTCATCGTATACTGGTGTTACATTATGACATAAAGCTAATGCTTTAATAGCTTCCAAAGCTTTTTTTGTATCTGTCTTTTTCACACTTTTACGTGTTCCACCGAATGATGATGTTGATGGAACGATCGGCTCTTGACTTTCTTGTGTTGATGTAGTAGTTTTTGCATATTCTGTTTCAACTAACTTTAATATTTCCATTTGATTTTCACTTGTATATGAATCTGTTCCTAGACTTAAACGTTTAAATGTCATTAAATTTTGTGTTAATGTTCCCGTTTTATCTGTTAGAATATAACCAATACGACCTAATTCTTCTGGAATAGCACTTGTACGTACAATTGAACCAGAAATATTTTTATCTTGTTGAATAAACCAAGAATAAGCTATTTTACTTAAATCAAGATTAACACGCAGACTAATTGGTATCATATAAGAAAAAAGAAGAATAAAACGAATTAAATGATGAAACCATGGTCCATAAAAACCTTTTGATGCAACCATAATGACTGATAAAATAAATGATCCAATAAATAATATTTTTGTTAATGTATTTATTTCTTCATCAACTAAACCAAATTTTGATTGTGGTTTATTTGTATTCATAACCATACGTGTATCTGAACCCGTATAAATAACACAACATATAGCATCACCAGTTGCCATAACTGTCCCAGACCAAAGAACATTTTCAACAGTTAATGGTTCATCATTTTTCCATGATATAACACCATTAAAATCATGGATATTTAAACAAGGTGGTTCAGCATGAATTTTTCCTGTATGAGTTCTATCAGATATTAAAATAGAAATATCATCAAGAGATTGTATGGGAGGAGGAGCAATACGTAATTTCCAATCGGTTTCACCATCAAGTTGATCCGTACGAATAAAACAAGTACCTAGAATAATATGTTCAAAAAAACAATTCCTATTTGTCTAATTTGTTTTTCGAATTTTCTGTGAAAAAATGATGAAATCTTTCTACTCAACTTTCAAAAAAAGTGTCCTAGACGATTCTTATGCTAATATATTATGTATCATTCGATGCTGGCTCCAAGTATAAAGTTAGTCTTCAATAAAAACCTTTCTATATCGCGAAAAATGAGTTTACACCTTGAAAATTGAGAATTTTCTAGAAAACCTATAGATCAGCTCTGGAACACTTACGCTAACACTTTATCGGTGGAGGAACATTCTGTGGAAGTTTTATCTAATTTCGAATTGTGGCAAAAATAGTACAAGCTCATTATATTGAACACATATTTCCGCAAAAAGTATTCGACGTTAATGAAAAATGACTTTTTTCGAATCCTCAAACAGGTAAAAGCGAAAGGGTTTTTCACCAAGCATGCGATTTCAGATTATATTTATGATCATAAACTGTATAAAATGATAGTATATAGCATTGTTTTTTGGCCATCTCGGCACCTGTAATCATCATCCTGCGTTTCATTAGTACAGTTATCTTAAATTTATGTATGAAATTTGTATGATGTGTAACTGTTCTCAAGGTCGATGATTCCAGTGCCCTGTTTCGTGGATTTCTGGCTGGAAAAGTCTGGAACTCGGAAGCACGAATCTGATTTTTCTATTTTCCAGTCCGTGTTTCTTGGCCTAAGTTGATCAAACCATTCGAGAATATTTTGTTTACACGCTTTGCAACATACGATTTATCACAGATTAGATTTTTTTTTCATTTCTACATGATATCTGCGAAGACAAATCAATTTAATATATGTTTTACAAAGATTAAGCAATGAAAAATCTTAATTCGATTTCTATAATATTCATATTGAACTTTTCATTTCATTTACCTGACTTATCCGATGTGTGTAAAAGTACTACATCAGCAGGTATACGTTGATTTTTGTGTATTATAATAACATCCGATACTTCTAATTCTGAACTAAATATTTCTTCTTTTCGTCCATTTTCATTCAATAATGTATATTTTTGAGAATTGATTTCTCTATCACGATATGCACGTTTTATGTCATCATATGCTTCACGTAACATAGTTACACATACAACAAAACCTAATGGAGCCCAATATGTATATAAATAACCAATACGAAATGCAGGGATAAATTGTGTACATGCCATAATAAGAAAATAAAGATTAAAAAAAGTACGAAATTGTTCAAAAAGAACAAGTGGAATAAATGTTATTATATTATATTTTTGATTACGAATAACATTTTTTGGATACCAAGTAGAATTTAAATCACGTCGACCAATTAAAATATCACGTGGTTTAGTTTTATGTGCTTTACTACGAAATTTTGAGATAATAGATGAAAATGATATACCCATTTTTAAGTTTTGATCGGATTCTTGACTTTCTATTTAATATTTATTATCACATATACTACTTTCATCATTTTAATTAACTAATAAAACATGTTCTTCTAATCACCAGATGAAAATCGAACTATCATAAAATTCTACAAATTTGCTTGTATAATGAAAAAGAAAATTATAAATACTAGAAGACGAAAAATATTTTCTGTTAGAATATATCTGTCAATCAACTGATAGATACTAATCATACTAATGAATAATAACATCGTATCGTCGATATCCAATAGCTCCCTATTCTTGAGGTCGCTAGTAGAAATTATTTCGATCAGATGTCGATACTTTTTGCTTAGGTATTCTTCTTTTTCGATAATTATGAATTTTATTGATGTATCACACACTACTAAAGTGTTTGCTATCGAAGGAAAGAGAAGGTCATCGATTTTTATAACGAACAACTCCAGCTCCTTCGAAAGCATCGAGAGAATATTTCAATGTCTGAGTTACTTTTTATTTCGAGAGCATGTATTGATAGTAATTGAAAAAGATATTAGCAAAATATTTTTTTTTTACGGTATAAATCGTTCTATCATGTTTTTTATTTGTACTCAGCAGTGTCTTGAGGCCGCCAGGATTGGTAAAAAGGATAGACGACTCAGGAGACTGATTGAGAAAAAAAGGAAAATTTTTCAAAATTAAGGAGACTAACTCCCATTTCAGTTTGTACTGAAAGGTTTTTTGAATCTTTCTTTAGAATTCTAATTAAGTTTCTTATTATCAAAAACTCTTATGGTTCATTTTTCTTGCTTCATATGCAACAAATCTTACCTCAACTTACATAACTCGTCCTCCAGTCTGATTGAATCGATGTGTTTGAATAAAAGCAAACACATAGTAATTATCTCACTGCCAATCAAATGCATCATTCACAATCTCTCCGTTTATTTGTTTTATCACTTCTGACAGATATATCTACCCCAAGGAACAAAAAAAAAAGAACTTACTATCTGGTAATCAATGATTTGTTATCATATCTCGTAACATAATCCAACTGATCTACTTCATGCTATCATAAGTATCTAACCATCCAAATGAATGCACATCATCATGATTGGAATCATTCAAGACATGTAATTAATTTTTGTTCTTTTGGTTCTCTTTTATTTTCTTATTTAAAAAGTATTAATGATATAATTTCAGCAAAGTGAGAGAAAAAGAAAAAAGACAAAACGCAAAAGCAAAACCACAAATACACACATATGTGAGCAGCCAAGAAATAAAGATAAGGATAGAGAAGAAAAAAAAATAGTGTAAAAAAAAACAAAAAAAGAAAATCACCATCGTACAGCACACAACAACAACAACAATAAGAACAGTAGTAAAAAAAAAAAAACGAGAAAAAGAAAAGTTGTTCGCTTTTCTAATTTGCATAATTTTCCTTCTTGTTTTTTCAAATAATAGATTAAAGAACAAAACAAAAGAAATCAAATATAACTATGTATAGTTAACGAGAGAACAAAAAGAAAAAGAAATGCGATAATCTACATAAACAAAAAAACAAAATCTGAGCACAGCAAAATATTGTGTTGCTAAATAATGGAAGAAAACACACACACACACACACACACACCACACGAATAAGCCCAAAAGAAATAAAAGTGCTCAATATTTGAATATAACTACGAACTAGAGAATGATTTATGATAAAAACTAATCTCGTATTACGAGAAATTATCAATGACTAGGTGTACCATATGATGTTATTGTTTTCTTTTTTCTTCATTAAAGAAAGAATCATTATAGTTTTGTAAACCATGATTCATAGAAAAATTCATTAGATGAAAAAAAAAATGATCATTACGACCAAAAGAAAGTAACAAATACGAAAAGACTTTGATCATATATAGAAGAAAAGTCTATATGTACTATATCATTCTCTGTTCATTTTCGTTTCATTGAAAAAAATCCACCTGATTTCTTTTTGCCTGTTGGTGGTTGTTGAGATGAACTCGATGAAACTTGAGGTTCAACTGATGAACTTGAACGTAATGGTAATGTTCGTGATTTTTGTTCGGTAGTTGATGAGCTTTGAGGCATTTGCATACCTAAATAAAAAAAGATTCATTAGACACTAATTAAAGTTAAATTCCAAGTCAATTTCTAATACTGTAGTCACCAAAAGTTTGACTCTACAAGATAAAACGTAACTAAAATTGAATCTTTTTTGTCTGATACTTTTACTACTAATAGGGTTCGGTAAAAGTCTAATCTCGAGTACTAATTCGAGATCGATCGGCTTTTTTGATATGTTTTTAGTTCGCTATTAGATTGAATCGTTAATGTACATGTTGAGAGAACACTCTTAAAAAAAAGATTTTCTTAGATACCGACTAAAATTGGATTCCGAGCGTTTGGAAACCGAAATATGTTTCTGAACTGATTTCGGAAACTTTTAAAAGATTTTTGGAATTAAGAAATTGGCTCTCAAAGTTCGGAAACTCTTAAAGCGTTTCAGATAAAGACTAAATCGGAAACCTTGCATGGTTTTCAGAAAAAATGATCCATCTCCGAAAATCCGGAAACCCTTGAGAATTTCCGATTTTTGTCACTATCTAAAATCCTTTAAGAGTTTTCGAAGTTCGTAAATCTATTTTTTAATTTCAAAAACCTTTTAAACGTTTCCAAGATCAGTCTGGAAACATATTTCGGTTTCCAAATTCTCGAAAATCTATTTTAGTCGGTTTCCAAGGAAACCTGTTTTTTTTAGAGTGAACTCAGTAGAAAAAGTTTCAAGACAAATGATTGATAATACTCGGAATTACAAGTTACTTTTTTTGTCGAATACCATTAAATCTTATGCGAAAAATACGCAAAAGTTGTGGGTGAGTCTACTCTTTATCTACACCCACCCCACACCCTCAGATGCAAAAGTTGTCCTCTTTAAGCATTTTCACGCATCTTTTATGATGAAAGTAGCTGGCTTTGGTGTTTACTGAATGGAACTGAAAACGCTCAAACGAAAGCCGCGATCAGTGCGTCCTTCGGAATTCTTGTCTGCCTGAAACAGTGCCAAGTTGAGTTCAAATGAGCGACAAAAAATGTTCGAACAGTCCTTCTGATAGGAATTGAGCCAGTTCGAAAAATTTTATTTCGTTTTGGCAACAGCGTTTCGGTAATAAAACAAAAGATCTTTATATTCAAAAGTATCTTTCTCAAATATTGTTCAGACAGTATTCTACCTGATGTACTTGATATCATAGTAGATGGTGGTGGATGTTGAGGAGAACTAGATGATGATGATGATGATGGTACCATTGTTGTTGTTGGTGGTGATGTTAAAGCAATTGTTGGTATTTGTGTTATTAGTGAGGTAGTTATTGATGATGATGATATGAAATTATTTATTGCAGTAATCCATTCATTCATTTCAATATCATCTCTAGCATGAAATAAATATTCATTACCATCTTGAAATTTTAAACGAAATACATTTGTTTTTTTACGATAATCTATGGCTGGTGCAACACTTGTTGATGAATCTAATTGAAGATCATCTGTCATTGTACGACCTGTTTTCAAATGTTTAGCATCTTTATAAAATTGTAAACGATTGTTTATTAATGCTGTATAATATTTTTCCCATGCACGATGTGTTGCTTTACGTTCATGTCCTTCCCATTCATGTTTACGTGATAAGAAACCTTCTTTTAATGTTGGTAAACGTGTTGCTGATTCTGATCGTCGTTGTTTATTAATTGTTGATTCTAAATCTTGACTAGATTGTTGTTTACCTGGTAATATTGTTGAACGAATACTACCATCAGTCGTAGTTTTTTCTTCTGTTATAGTTGATTGAAATTTTGTTTTATCTGTTAATGTTGATGGTCGTTCAGCATCACGTTCTTCCCATGTTTTAAATTCTTCTAAATAAATTGGTAAACGACTTTGACGAGGTTCAACTGGTGGTAATTGTCGTTTTTTTTCTAATGTTGTTAAATTACGTAATGCATTAAAACGATCTTCTTGTGCTAATAATGATTTTTCAAATTGTTCATGACGTTTTATTAAATTTTCAACTTGATCTAATGTTTCACCAAGTTCTTCATTAGTTAAATAAGATTCTTGTGCAATTAACCATGTTTCAGCAATAGCTGCATCACGTGCAAATTGATAAACTTCTAAAATAAGTTGTAAATATTCCCAACGTTCATTCCATGTATCATCAACATGATCACGTAACATAGATAATTGTATACATTTATCTTTTACTTCAGATGAACGTGCATGACGGCGGTTAATTAAATCTTTACCTAAAAGAAAAAATAATAATAATAAATAGAAGAATTTGTTAGAGATAAGTACAATCACATTTTTATTTTAAAATAGATCATCTTTGAAAAACATTCAACGAAATAGATAAATGATTCTGTTTGCTATACATCGAAATATGATTTAGTTTGAATGCTTTGGGAAGATGAGAGGTTTAAAAGTAATAATTTTGTCTTATATACTTAGGGCATAAAAAAATTAGTAGCGAACGGATTTTAATTCTTTATGAAAAGCCTCAAGAAACTTTCTCTCTCTGATAATAAGAACAACATTCTACATATCTGTGATATTTACTCATTCTTCAACTAACATTATAATAATAAAATTTCGATAGGAACCGTTTGTTATGATATATGATGATAATATATCATAACATATTTTGTCTTCGATGTGTATCTCCTTTCCTCTAATGCTCAGCTGTCTATACATATTAGGATATACAAAGGAAAATTGTAACGGTAGAACGTGAATTCAGCTTAACCAAAAACTTCATGAACTTGTTCCTGTATTTCTTTTTGGTTCTACTCACACTATCTTTTCTGTACACAAATATGTATAGACAGCTAAGTATTAGAGAAAATGAGATAATAGAGTTGACAAGTCCGGATTTCCTCGAGTTCGAATACCAATTAGATATGTATGGGATCGATTTCAATCCGGATTTCGGTGAGCAGGACAACGAGAAAGAGAAGTTGCTGGGATCGACATCGAGACTACGAGAAAAAAGTTGTCCCGACCGGAGCTAAAGATTACAGTTAAATGTTTTATGATTATAAACGAATTATCATATCAATCAGAACATAATTCAAGAGAAATAATCTAACAATCTGTTAGTCATCGACTAAATTAATCAAAATCACGAGTAGTGGAAAAATACTTTTAAATGTGATACTCATAAGTTCTCAAATAGTTTTCTCTAAATCCGGACCTAGACTATGAGCAGAATCAAGACTATGACTCAGAGTTGAAACCGGTCCAAACTGTCAGACCCGCTGGGTGGTTGTCGGTTCAGAAAAAATTTGAAATCGACTAGTTTTTTGTCAGTTGAAAACTTGTTTCTCATTCAAGTGCTGTCTTGACCATCAGACCTTATTTTTCTATCGTTCCTGTTTATATTATGCGTTACGAAAGATCAGGTACTCGTTAATCAGTTGAAGTACTCTTCAAAAAAAGCTGTTCACAGTGTCGTTTTTGCACCAGTCTCGAAAATTTTTTCAATCACTCGGATCGGACTGATTCCAACTCTGCTATGACCGAGACCATGGCCACAACCATGACTGGAGCGGGACTAAAAAGCTTGATTCCAGACATCTCCAGTATCGATTCTTCAAGTACGAGTACGTACTTCCACTTGCTCAGTTCTGAAAGAGAACATCAAGAAGAGGATACACATCAAAGACAATATGTGATCTAATATTACCGTCATATATCATAACAAACAGCTCTTATCGAAATTTTATTATTATGATGTTAGTTGAAAATATTATTAAATATTAGAGAAATGTAGAACATTGTTTTTACTATCAGACTATATAGAGAAAAAGTTTTTCTTAAACTTTTTTATAAGAAAATAAAATTCGTTCATCACTATTTTTAATATGCTCTAAATAAATTATTCATATTAATTAAAATTAAACAAGTTCATATTAAATAACTCACCTAAATTAATACACATAATAAAATTTTCTTGTCTAGCATCAATTTCTGCTTTTAAACTTTGATGATTATTCATTAATAAATCTACTCCACTAACATCATGTGGTTTATCACTATTATTCATTTGTCTAATCATAACATCCATCCATAAATGTAAATCTCTAGCTAAACCAAAAAATCTATGTAAATCTTCATAATCATTTAATAAACGTTTTCGTTGATCAACAAATTGTTGTAATAATTTCCATTGCGTTAAAACATCAATTTCTTTTTGTTTTATTTCAGCTTCTTTTTCACCAGCATAACGTCCATTTAAACGTTTTGATTCTTGTTGTATACGTTGTATATCTTGTGCTAATAAAACTAATTCAGTTTCAAATTGTTGATGTTTACGTAATAATTGTTGTACACTTTGCTGATCACGACCAATTTCATCTGGTATAGAATTTTTACGTTCTTGCATTGTTAATAAAATTTCTTTACAATCATGTAAAAATTTTTGTAATTCCCATGATGCTTTTAATGATTGTAAACGTGTTTCAATTAATTCTAATAAATCTTGATATGATTCATTTAATGAATCTTTTAATTCAGCTATTTGTGCTGAATCAATATGACCATTTGATATTAAATGATCAATCATATTATTTGCATATTGTAAACGTTCATTACCAATTTGTTGTGTTTCTTGTTCAAATGCTACAAAACGATCAAGTAACATAGATACATGTTCAAAATCTTGTCCAAGCTCATGTGAACCAGCTATTAATTCTCTATCTGATATCCATTGTTCAAGATCATCAATTTCTTTATGTAAACGATAAAGTTTTAATGTTTCATCTAATTGTTGTCGTCGTTCAATAGATAAATCTTTTAAGCTAGCATATAATTTGTCTAATTGTGTTTGTCGTTTATTAATTAAATCATTATGTTCATTAATAAAATCATCAGATAAACTTGATTGATTTAAGTTATCTAATAAATAAATAGTATTTATTTGATCGAAAGAAAAAATGGCGAACTGAAAAAAAAATGTCAAAGGGATTCAAGGGTGTAGATGTGAGTGTCGGTGTGGAGTAAAGCCCGTTAGACAGAACCCGATCCTTCTCAGGTCCAGTTTCGCGTCTGAAAATTCTCTGTCTACCGAGTCCGAGTCTGATCCGACAATTGCTACTCTAAAAGTAACACCCCATTTTTATACGATCACCATCACGATATTCTGAGAGAAGTGTAGAATGTACTAGTTGTTGAATCTAAATTAGCGAAAAACAAAGTATCGCGTGTCTTTTGAACCAGTATTAAGATGGATTAAAAAATTTTATTGAGAATATTATGAATACAGATCGATTCCGGATCCGAAAAAGTCTAATCAACTGGGTCCGGACTCGAAAAAACTTAATGAACCGGGTCCAGGTTCAGATTTGGGTCCGAATTCGGACCCAAATTCTGGTCCCGGTCCGGATTCAGGTCCAGGTGTAGATCCGAGTTTGGGTCCGAGAAAACTTAACGAGCCAGGTTGAGGTTTGAAAAAAATTCAATGAATCAGACCCGAGTCCGAAAATTTTGGACCCGACGAGCTCTAGTGTGGGATGTGCATGTGAATATTATTCTTCTCCTCATGCCTAGCCTTTTACGCACACTCATCATCTCACACCCCATCCTTAACAGAGTCACTAAATGACATTTAGAACACTTTTGTTTTCCCTATTTTTTCTCTCGACGAAATTGATACATACCTAGTAAATTTTTTGCACGTTCATTTAATTCATGAAGTATATGACTATAATTTTCAATTGTTTGATCGATTGTTTGTTGTTTACGTATAAATGTTTGTGTTGCTAATTCATCTTTACCACGTTCTTCACTCATCATATATAATTCTTGTTCACCTAACCATGCTTCAGCATCACTTAAATCATAATAATATTGATAGAGATTTTCTAATAATTCAATTTGTTGTCGACGTTGTTTTATTGTTTGTTTTAAATCATTATAATTAACTGTTAATTGTTCTAAACGTTGTTGAAATTCATTTGCACGTGATGGATAATCTTGACTTATACGTTCGCATTCATTATTTAAATGTTCTAATAAACGTTGTTCATGATTTTCAATTTCTTTCAATAATGTTTCATTTTTACGTTTTAATAATTTAATATTCATTAATGTTTGTTGTTTATTATTAAATATTAAATCTGAATATGTTTGTAATAAATGACGTTTTTCACTTAACCATATTTGTTCATCTTCAATATCACGTAGATATTGATGTAAATGTTTTTGTTGTTCTAAACGTAATTTTTTTTGTTCTAATGGTAATAAAAGTTTAGAAAATTTTTCTTCAACTTGTAAACGTTTTGTATCAATTTCATCAGATTTTTCTGGTTCTATTTGTTTTAATTTTTCAGCTTGTGTACGTAATTCATCAACTTGTTGTTGACGTTTTGATAATTCTTCTTCAATAGTTGTTTGTTTAAGTAATAAAAGATTTGTTGCTGTTAAATTATTTTCTACTGGTTCAAGTGTTGGTGTTGTTGTTGAAATTTGTCCTTCAGTTAAATCTGTTGGTGTTGGTTCACCAGCATATAAATGTTTTTCAATATTAGACATAAATTCATCAAGATTTGTTATAGATTGTTGAAATAATTTTGAACGATTAGCATCAAATAAACGTTCACCTTTTTCACGTGTTATTTCTTCTAATTTAATCCATAAATCATCTAATTCATTAATACGTTGATCAATTAAATTTGTATCAATTTGTTGATAATTTTCTGATTTTAATTGTTCAGCATTTTGTTTTAATGAAAGTAAACGTTCTTTATTAGAATTTATTTCGGCTTGAAATGCTTGATGACGAAGATATTTTGTATGAATATTAGCTGTATCACGATATGCATCATCTTGTGCTTGTAAAGTTTTCATATCAAGCCATTCTTTAAGATCATCACAATCTTGAATAAATTGAAAATATTTAAGTGATTCTTGAAGTTTATCATTCATTTCAAGTGCAAATTGACGATTAGCAGCATAACGATCATTTATAATTGAAGCACGAGATAGAATACGATCACCTAAAATTATATAGATTTTTTTTTTCATTTAAGGTAAATTTTAATTAATTATATTCGACCAGAAATTGTTCGAAATAATAATTTGTATAAATGATTTTTATTTATATTATGTTCATGTTTAGTAAGAAGAAAGAGGGACCTGACGCAGAGTTCTCGCTTAGGTTCTCCATATACATTAACTAATCGTAAAAGCAAGCGTATGTCATAAGGTAGTTACCATATTATTGGACCGGGGAGATTCGGGGCAAATAGTCGTTAGTAACTTGTTCAGGGTTGTTTCATCGCTGGTGATAATAAGATTCGAACAATGTAGTCAATCGATTATGTCTAGTAAATATGAATAGTTTTGTTCAAGTTGTTTATTCTAAACTTGTTATTAATAAATCAACAAAATCTCCATGATTAATTTTTAATAAATTTATATTTGAGAAAGATTAGAATTATGTTAAGTTACTTTTGGAAAGGACAACATATAATCAGCAACTATAGCTAGTTTATACATGCATCGTTAACAGATGAAAAAGAAAGAATATGTAAAAAATTAAACTATATTGTATGTTCTTTTTTCTTAGAACTATCAAATGACTATAGAAAAAACCGCAGTAAACATTTAAAGCAAATGTCCTAGGTTTGGATCAAATTGAAATTCATTATAAGCATTATTCTTATTGCTCATGAAACTATAGGTGCAAGCCGATGCCTTAATAGGTGGCGGCTATAAAGACCTTAGGCTTTGACGACGCTGCGTTTGAAGCGTTGGCACATACGAAGACCTTAAACTTCGGCGACGATGCGGTTGGATCACCTGAGCGCCGCTTGCTACTGAAGACCTTAGGCTTCAGTGGCGGTATGGTTGGATCGCTTGAGCGCCAACGGCTATGAAAATTTTAGACTGCAGTGGCGAAGCGATTGGATCGCCTGAGCACCGACGGCAGTGGTTCTGCTAATCAGCATGCACTCCTAAAAGTAACAATTAATGCAAATTCCTAGAGAAGTGTCACTTTACTTTTCATCGATTAAAATATATTTCGGGAAGATCCGAAATTTCTATTCAGAATCCACATTGAAAGCGTTTTTTAACTGTCTAATGATTTTATATCGCATTGTTTCTTAAAGGCACGACATGATAGAAATTTTTTTTTGAACATTCCGTTAGAAAGCGCTTTCAATGAAGATTTTTCTGAAAAGTTTTTTAACCGATAAAAAAATGAAGCGACATTTACATCATCCATTATCCGAATTGTATTTCATTTACTACAAGCAATAATTTCCTTTATGAAAACCATATTTTGCTAATAAATCCATAACCAACAAATAGGATACAACCAAATTTTTATACCATGTAAATGTTAACATGAATTTTCAATTCAATAATTTATTTTATAAATAAAAACTTACCTAAATAATGATTTTCTTGACATAAACGTTGAGCAAATGAACAAACACCTTGTATTTTATCTTCATTAGCTGACATTGTTGTAACAAAATCTTCATGTTTTTTAATTAACATTTCAACATCATCAAGTGATCTTGGTTGTTGTTCACGTTCACGTGCTAAATAAGCTTCTTGATGATTTAATAAAATTTCAGCTTGATTTGAATCTCTAACAAACATTTGATATTGCATAGCTTCAGTTAACATATTTTTTTTTTGATGCCACATTTGATCAAGTTCATTCCAACCATCATCAAGTGCATTTAAACGTTCACGTAAAAATATATATTGTGGATCTGTTGTATCAGCATCACGTATAACAGAATGACCATATTCTTTCATTTGTGCATAATCTGGACCATAACGATCAATTTCCTCTTTTATTGTTTGATGTTGATTTAATAATTGTTCAGCTTCACTTAATGTATTTGGTATATCTTCACTAGCAACTAATGTTTGTGTACGTGTTAACCATGCTGAAAAATGATCAAGATCACGAAGAAATTTTTGTAATTCAGCTGCTTCACCCATGGATTCTTCACGACGACGTAAAATTTCTTTTAATTCATACCAAACAGAATTTATTTGATTTACTTTATTATTTATATCTTTTGCTTCCTCAGGATGATCTTTTTCAAGTTTTGATGCTTCTGATTCAAGTTGATCAAGTTTTGATTGTATAGCAGCCATATCACGTTCTAAACCACTTAAACGACGTTGCATTGTCATAACACCACCAAGATCACGACCTTAAATAAAAATTGATATTTTTTGTTTTCTTAATTAAAACAAAATATATAAATTAATTTATAATGTACAAAGTTTTGAACACACTGTATTGAAGGTTCATATTTAAGTTTATTTGGAATAGAGCTCAATAGTTTGAAAATATTAGATTTGCACTAATAATATTTCGAAATAGTTCGTCTTTAAAATAATGTGAGAAATAAAAAAAACGGTATTCTTTACAGTAGAATTGCAAAGCATATATGATGTGACTGCAAAATTTTATAAACTTAATCTAAGTTCTCGGCATAAAAATAAGAATTTAAAAAAGAAAGAACTTTGTCACGCACTGCAATCTGACATACTCGTTTGTGTCTGTTGCATATCTTTCGAAAACGTCGTAATATAGAGCGAAAAATTTTAGCATATTCTGAAAACTTCCTCGGAATTCAATGTACCTAATCCAAAGAGTGGCAGGATTGCAGAGGTGCTGAGCGCCTCGTAATATTTTAAAACTTGTTGATAATGACAGTCCCACAGGAGGTCTGAGGAAAACTCACGTGGGAAGTCCTGCAACAGATTAATCATTTTTAAGTGCATCATGTAGACCTTAATGAGCTATGAGTACTTTGAAAAGAGCTCGCCATCCCTATCTTATTACTACGGAAACACATATACACCGGCACATTGGATTCTCTTATTTCAAGATAGGAGCAAACTGAAACTTTCACAAGAAATTATTCTCAGTAAAACCTATCTATATGCAAAGTTTCAAATTGAAATTCAAAAAACAAATTTTCCTAATGTTTCTGAGAGGATCATGGCATTTTGCTAAAAAATATCGTAAAAATGTAGTATCTCCGCAGTAATAAGCTGAGGACCTGAACTCTTTTCAGAGTGTTCACAGCTCATTAGGATCTACATGATGTACTCAAAACGATTAATCACTTTATCGACTTTCCACGTCAGCTTCCCTGATGATGGATCATTTCCAGGTGATCCGCTCTGTTTGTCTCTCTATTTTGCCTATACGTAGGAAGTGACTAGAGTAGTGTAACCTTCAAAGGATTCCTGCCCATGTTTAGATTTGGCCGAGATAGCGGTTTTTTAGTGAATTCCCGTTGTAGAAACCCAGTTTTCGAAAAAAAAATTGTATTTTAGAATTTCGATCTGAAAATTTGTACAAATGAAGTTCTGGTTTACACCATCTCATGTACAAAATTTCAAGTCGAAATTCTAAGATACGATTTTTTTTCGAAAACTGGGTTCCTACGACGGGAATTCAATAAAAAGCCGCTATCTCAGCCAAATCTAAACATGATCAGGAATCCTTTGAATGTTACACTACTCTAGTCACCCCCTACATATGGACAAAATACGGAGACAAACAGAGTGGATCACCTAGGAATGTTCCCTCGTGAGTAAAAATCCAGACGCGCTGTTATACTCAAGATCGACTTGTAAGAGTGGACTAAATTTGTTAAGCTCTATAGTTTTCGATATTCCATAGTTACATATTTTTGTTCATTAAGCTTATTTCAATAATACTAGATAATTGATCGATCTATTAATACAATTATATATATATATATTAAATCCTTAAGATTTTCAATAAAATATCGATAAATTACATTCTGTTAAATGAAATTTGAAAATATTATACCTAAATCTTCAGTTGATTGTACAATACGAATTTTATCTTGTATCCATGATATTGTTTCATTACATTCAATATGAAATGTTTGTACACCAAATGTTGAACTTAAATCATCACGCTTTTTATCAACTAAACGTCTTAATTGTGCCCAATTATGATTTAATTTATTAATACGATCTAATATTTCTTGTGAATTAGGATGATCATTTTGTACTAATGTACGTGCTTGATGACCAACAATAGCAACTTTTGATGCTGTTGAATTCATATCACGTTCAAAACCATCAAAACGATGTTTAATTACTTCTAATTCTTCGATATCATTAACTTGTGTTGGATCTAATGTTGCTAAAAATCTTTCTTTTTCTTCAATCCATGCTTCAACATTATCAGCATCAGCTAATAAACGAAATAATGATATAGCATCATGTAATTTTTGTTTACGTAATTTTGATAATTCAAGTAATTCTGTATAACGACGTTCAATTGATTGAAGACGTTGTTGAACATCAGGTGAATTTTGTTGTTCATTAGTTAAAATTTGTAGATTTGTTCGTTTTAAATTATCAATTGTTTGACGATAATTATCTAATATATCTTGTGTATCTTTATGTTTTTTTAATAATGTTTGTGCTGATAATTCATCACGACCAATATCTTCACTTGATACTAATTTTAACATATCAAGCATCCATGTATCAATATCATCAGCATCAGAAAAAAATTGATAATAATCATGTGTTTGATTTAATTTTTCAACACGATTTGATGACATTTGTATTAAATTATCCCATTTTAATTTAAGCATATCTAAACGTTCATTAACTTTTCTTGATGCAAAATGTCCTTGTTTTATCATTGAATCGCCTTGATTTGTTAATGTTTCAAGTTGACCATATCTAATCATAAATAGAATATTATTATTATTATTAAGATATAGTATTAAAGTTTTCTAAAAATCAATCAAAACTATAATTGAAAATTTAGATTATGTGAGACACGACAGTTAGGGAACTGCGGATCTACGGTTTTGTAGATCCGGACTCGACAGATCAAGATCCAGATCCAGCCAGAATCTGAAAAATTCCAACCTGGATCCTGGTCGAATCCAACAAATCAAGATTCAGACGTTGGCCAGACCTAACAGACTAAGGTTCGAACCCGATCGACCAAGGTTCAAATCCAAGCCGGATCCGAAAAATTCCAACTCGGATCCTGGCAGAGTCTGATAGATCAAGATTCAGGCCTTACTTGGACCCAACAGATCAAGATCCGAATCCAAAAACTCACAACCCGGACCTTGACTGGGTTGGACAGATCAAGATTCGAACCTTGCCTGAATCTGACATATCAAGACCAGGACCCGGTCGAACCATACTTTGATACTCTCAATGAAATTTTCTAATCAAAACTGAGTAGTCGCCCCGAACATACGAGCTACTTTTCTGTGTTCTCTGGATAGTGCATTCTATTCATTTCTCTAATGATTAGAACCTATCGAGTTCAAAATTTTTCAGAGCCGAACTTGACCGTATTCAGATTCGAGACCAACCCGTCGGTTCTAATGAAAGTAATATAAATTTTTTGTTTTTTTTACCTTGCATTCATATCATTTTCAACTAATTTATGTTTTCCAATTAAACTCTCAGTTGTATTAACATCATGACCCATATCAGGTGATGTCATAGTTTGTTGTTTTTCATCAATCCATAATTCTGCATCACCAATATCAGAATAAAATTTTGATAAAAGTTTTGCTTGTTCAAGTAATTCACGGCGTTTACGTGCTAATTCAATTAATTCTTCATAAGATTTTTGCAAATTATGTATACGCATTTCAATTTCTTCTGGTGTTGCTGGACGATAACCATCAATATTAACATCAGGATTAAGATATTCATCAGCATCAGTTATAGCACGTTTTAAACGTTCATCAATAATATATATATCAGCTTCAATTAATGAATGTCGTTGAAGTAAATCATCAGCTGACATAACATATTTTTCAATATCATCTGATTTTAATCGCCATTTTAAATCACTTATCCATTCAAATATATATTGCATTTCCTAAAAATAATCAAATAAAATTTTAATTATTTAAAACAAAAATCAAATAATTTTACTTGAAAAACGCGTTGTAAATTATAAGCAAGTTCAAGACATTGTCGACGTTTAGTAACTAAACTAATTAAATATTCCCAATGCATTTCAACATTTTTTTTTCGTGCTTCAATTGTTGCATAATCATGATAATCTTCTGTTTTAAGTTCATTTGCAATAGCCATTATATTTTGAAGACGTTCTTCAAATGCAGCTATATCAGTTTGTATGGCTTCTTGTTTTTTAAATGCTGCTTCAACAGAAGCTAAATCTGTACCAAATTGATCACTAAAAACAAAGACAAATTATTAATTTATTGTAGTTGAATAAGAATATATCTTGCAAATATAGAGAAATGTCAAAAAACAGTTTTAGACATTTATTACAAACAATAAAAAGAAAATCAAGAGATATAAGATTGAGCCTATGATCATCTTTCTTTGTACAAGAAATGCTCTTGTGTAATGTTCATTTCAAACAGTACCTCTGATAGAAACTGATCTGTCAGAAAAATAACACTAGTTCAAAAAGATAAGTTCATTGATTTTTAACACATTCAACCCGATGAGACCCACCGGTGGGACGCACTACATGGTGGCCCAAAAGTCTCTTTAGCATAGAAAAACTTGAATATCTATGCCATATTTTGACTAAAGGAGCTGATTCTTTTACCACTAATAAAGGAATATTCATAGCTCAGATCTATAAGAGAAACGTTGACAAAAGCTGATTTTGAAATATTACAATTGCCATGAATAAAGAGTCGGAACTTTTGACGAATTACGAAAAAACAATATCCATATCGTCTCGAATGTGTTAATTAAAATATGATTTAGATTTAGTCTGATAGAATACATTTGGCAACTCTAAATTAATTATAGTCTCATTAAAAAAAAATAAGCAATAAAATACATAATGAATATTATCATATATTTAGTCACATTTCTGGCTAAGAACTATACATCAGAATTCGAATTCAAACGTTACATTATTTGTTCATGCGCGAGAATCATTCAGAATACAAACGATTCCAATTGATCGATTATTGTTTGATTTGTTATTTTATACTAAAGTCTGTAATAATAATAATAATAATAATACGAAAAGAATGTTTCTTTTTCTTAACCTACAATACAGTGAAACCTCTGTAATGTAGGGATCAATTGCAAACCACCTACAAGTGTTTATTATCGAATGAGTTGCAGTTTGTTTTTATTCAATTGTAATCGCTTTTTGATTAAATAAAGTAATCTTTTTTTAATCAGAGGTAAATCAATACATGTTAACATAATAACGATGAGATCTTACATCAAGCACTGTGGCTGTCGTCTAATATTTTTTTTCTTCTTTTTGAATATACACAATTAGTCCATTTCTTTGTTTATATATATCCTATGATTGTTTATCATAATATAATTTTTTTTCCTCGTTCTGCGGGTGAGTGATAGGACCATATGTTGTTCACATGACAGAGGTTGTTATTACTCATAGGATTAGAAATAAGCGTCCACTGTTCAGCATAAGGTGATGCTCATTATAGGAGACAGTACAACTGATCAAGCTTGAATTTTTATCATATATTTAAGATTATTGTATTTATCTGATGAGTTAATGGTTCCCGTAAATCTAGGTAGGAAAATCTAAACTGACAACAGCTAATGTGAATCTCATTGGTAGAAATTTCAATCCTACTCAACAAAGTTAGATGAGAATCGTAAGTAATCAAGATGTCACAGTAAAAATTCACTTAAAAATCATTTTCCCTCGAACACGGTATGTCTTTATTTTCATTAGTAATTTTATTAAATTATTATGATTACCTTGCAACAAGTTTTTCACTATCAGTTAACCATTTTTCTCTTAAGCCAGCTTTACGATTAAATTTTGTTGCTAATTGTTCTAAACGTTCTTGTCGAAGAATTTCTTCACGTAATGCTAATTCTCGTTCATGTTCAGCACGTTCAAGATTTTCCCATGAACGATTTATATCTGATATCATTTTTCCTTCACGTGGTTGATATGGTATTTGTTGATTAGCACGTTCTTTACTTTGTAATGTAAATAATAATACTTCTAAATTTCCTTTATCAGCAAATCGTGCTGGTTTATCAATAACACGATAACGATTAAATTCAACAAGTTTTTCATGTACACGTATAAGTGAATTTGGAAATTGTCGATCATTTAAAACACGTATTGTTTGTTCAATCCAAGCTAATAAATCATTTACTAAACGTTCATATTCATTAGCCATTTTTTCTGAATCAAGTGCTGAACCAATAACTTTAGCTAAACGTCTACCTTGTACATTATCATTTTTCATTTTTGAAAAATAATGATATAATGTAACAATATATGTTATTACAGATTTTTCATCAACATATTCAACATTAACATCTTCAGGATCAAGTAATCGACTTATACCTAAACGTTTTTCACATATATCAAATGCTAATTGTAAATTATGATTTGGATTATCTTTTGTTAATAATTTAAATTGTGGTATAAGATCAGGACGATGTTTATGTATTAAAGCACAAAATGCTAAACCATCTTTCCATGATGTTGTAAAATTTCGTACATTGACATTTGGATAATCAGCTGTTTTCATTTGACACCAAAGTAATAAAGCATCTTTAGCTGATTTAGTTTCTGTTGATTCATATTCTTCAATTGTTATATCTTGAATTTGAAAACGAAGTATTATTGTCCATATAAGACCAAGAATTAAAGATGAATTTCCATCAACAATATCATGAGCACTAAATAAAAATAATAATTTACATTGT